GTAGGAGAGAGGCCTGCAGTGTGTGGTGTAGGATCAGGGAAGCAGAGGGAGGTGAGCTATTTTTCACTTTTAATTATGTGTACGTGAGTGTATCTGTGCAGGTATGTGTATGTGAGCGCTGGTGCCCACAGAGACCAGAGGTGTTGGCTCCCCTTGGAGCTGGAGTTAAAGGCAATTGTATGACACCTGAGTTGGGTGCTGAGAGAGGATCTCAGGACCTCTACAAGATGTGTACCTTATTCTCTAAGATTGGAAACATGTCTACTATGGTTTTGAAGAATAGTGTCTATTCAATTTGATTTCATTTCTACTTCTTCTTCTGCACCATGGATTCCCAAGTTCAACCTCCTGAATATATCTTATAATTACTGGAAGTTTTTACCATCCTCAATTTTTTCTTTTGTTAAATGTTTTTTATTACTGTCTTCTACCCCTAAAATTCATTCTTCTGAACAATCTTGTCTATTAATGATGGTAACTGGTGTGTCTTTTATTGAGTTTTGAGTGTTTATTTTTCAGTGGTTCAAACAATTTGTGTTTCTCTTCCAAATTTTGGATTCCTTGACTGTTTCATTTACTTTGGAGACTGTCTTATAGATGCCTTAATCCATGCATCTGTTTAACTTTTCTATGTTATTGTTTTAAAAACTTTTTTTTTTCAGAGATTTCAGCTATCTCTGTAGTTTTGGATTCACTTGTAGGATAATTGGGCACTTGGGTGTTGGGACATAGGTATTTGTGTCTAATTCTTGATGTTTCTTTGTCATGTTTTTTCCATCTGCTGAAATGAGTTCATCTTTCAGTTTTGTCTTTTTTTTTTTTTTTACAAGACTATTTGGGTACTTTAATTTCTGTGATTCTTTTTATCGGGTTATTTGCATAAGGCTTAGCCATGCGACTGGTGAAATTTGGTGTTGAACATCAAATGGAATTGCTGAGGTGATTCCATCTTGGTTTTGTGTCAACAGGACCAAGAGTGAGGCCTTGGGATTCCAAGGCAACTGGACAGGATCAGAAGGCCATAACCCTTTAGCCCCTGTGAATCCACTGGAGGAAGGACACCACGCATCAAACCCACTAAGCCCATGTACTATCTGGAGGATGTGGTTATTAGTGCCACAGGCCCAAAGTAACCTCTGGAACCACAGGAGCATAAACTGTCACTCCTGAAGTGACCATTGGATGCCCAGAAGTGAGAACCTCATAATGACCTCTGGGACCACTAGAGACAAATCTTTATCTTGATGCAGACCTTAGACTGGAGCCAAAGGTGAGGTTCTGCATGGACCTCTGGGGGATCTAGGGCTAGAGGCCTGGTAACACAGTGCTCCCTGGTGTCTCCAGAGCTGGGAGTCCAGTCCCAAAGTGTTCTTTGGACCGACTGGAACAAAAGAACTGTTACCATAGGACATCCTGGTCCTTCAGCAGCTGGAGACCTAATCAAAAGGTGACCTCAGGATTCACCTGAGTCAGAGGTATGGTCATGTAATGCTCTCTGTCCCTTCAAAGGTCAGAGGCCTCTTTGGAAAACAGTCTGTCCCTGGTCCAGCTGGCAAAGAAGGCCTGGACCTATGGCTACTGCTGTTCCCACAGAAGCAGGAGGCTTGTTCACATAACGAGATGCCTGTTTGAATAGCAGACTCTGGGCCTGAAGAAGACAGATGACAGTTAGCTCAGGGGTCTCTGGATCCAAAGAAGAGCTAGTTTACACAGGGGTCTCCGGCATGACAGAAAAATATCCATTTTATATAGGAATCTGTTAAAAAGTCATAAAATATATTAGACAACTTTAGAAATTATTGAGAAAATAACCTTAGCAGATAAACAATATTATGTAGTATTGATTAAGAGATGGAGCAAAGGGCTGAAGAGATGGCTCAGTGGTTAAGAGACCTGGCTGCTCTTGCAGAGGACCTGGGTTTTGTTCCTAGCACACACACAGTGGCTAACAACCATCCATACCTCCAGTTCCAGAGGATCCAGCAGTCTCTTCTGATCTCCATGGGCACTGCACAACATGGATGCACTTACACACACATAGGCAATACACTAATACACATAAAATAAAAATAATGAAAACTCATGAACTGGACTATCATTTATTATACATTCATGGAAAGTGGCTAATGAGCAGGCATGATACTCCACCATAGGCATAGCCTAGATATGCTAGTGATCATAGTGCCTTGAGAGGACAGAAGATTATAGTAGTATTTGTTTAAGGAGTTCAATCATCAGGGGTGGAAGCAAAATGTAAATTCAGAAAGATACAAACAATAAAATTTGGAACACTTTACAGTGGACATCTACACTTTAGGTCTTAGACATTAATAGCAGAAGCACTTTCTAAATATAGATAACAGCTAGATAGATAGCGAGGGGATTTCTTCCACCTGATGGCAATGTTTATCACCTCTACTAATTAGCATGATGTAAATTTTCATGCTTCCTCCTCAAATATAATACATTAAAAAATTTGATATTTTTCTGTGTGTGTATATCACCCAGAACATCCCAAACTATCTTATTCAACTATGCACCCACTTCCCAGATGGCACCCTCCCATAGCTTCCCTCCCCCTACTGGAGCCCTTATACTCTGTTATCCCTGCTACTGTCTGCTGTGTTGTCGGCACCTCAGCCATTCACCAATACTTGCCTTTCTGTTGAATCTAGTCAGTCTATATAGAGGTCTTTGTTTTAGGAGGGTCAGCTGTTCCTCTTCTAGCAGCAATCAGTTGTCAATACTCCTTTAGATAAGATTAGGGTCTGCCATTCATTTTCCCAGTTCTATGCTGGGTTAATATGTGGGAGTCCCTTTGTTCACCCTGGCCAACAACTCAAAAGAAGGTATCTCCCATCTGGCATTTGAACAATTTTTAACATTTATTTTTCAGCAATTATTTTGACCATTGAAAATAAATAGAACAACAACTTGAATGAAAGGATGTGCATTTTTATAAGTAGACATCAGGACATTCCTCCTCCCAGTGGCAGAGAATGGAGCTTCTGCCCTAAAAGGTAGCATCATTTCCCAAAATACTGCTGTTTAAGAGAGAACCAAGAGGATGACATTCCCTAGATACACCAAAAGACCAAACACAAATAAGCATTGGACACCTGATATCAGGCATTGCTGAGACTCAGGGAAAAGACAAGAGGATATGATCAGGACACATCCCTGTCATGTTTCCAAGGACTAAGCTCAAACCAACAGCTTTTTGGTAAAGGGACAATGCCTAGTGAATATATGAGAGCAAAAAGCTTTTAAGGGATGAGCTGGGCATAGTTCCAACTTTGACATCACACTTCTCATATATTCTGAAAATGTAAGGGAGAACGAGATCTATCAGGAGGAGTTACTAAAGACCCATGGGACTAGAGTTCATCTCATGTAAGAATGAAACATACATATTGTAAGCCTCTCCCAATGATCTTCTCAGTCATCACCACACAATCCATGGATATTGAGCTCCTCAGGCAACAACTCTATGTGAGCGAGGTAAATCCATGAAGATATTTATTGTACCATGCCATGCCTCCAGCCCAGCTATACAATTTCTCCCCAGGCAATGGGGAACAAGGGCCAAATTGCAAGAAATTAAGAATTCATGAAGAATTTAGGAAGAACCTGGATTCCTGACTGCCATCTCATAAACCAGCACATAATGAGAGTTGCTATAGCTCAAATGGAGGGTTTGAGCCTCTAGATTCTGAGGAGCAGATTACAGAAAATAAAAAGACTCCTTCAATCAGTGGCTCCTCTATCTCAGGAAGCCTTCATCCTCAGTTAACCCACTGTCACTCACAGCCTGAGGTGTTGGGAATGAAGCACTCTGCAATAGCAGGCACTGGGTTGAAAGTACACAATCAGGAGCACCAAGATTAGGAATGAAGATTTCATTCTTGTCTTGCTTGTGCATTTTATATGGATGTACACTATGCCTGCTATCTCTATTGCCACAGTCTTTCTGTTTTGTTCAGAATGACTTAAGAGATGCTACAGTGGCCCCTGTCATCCTGTGATGTGCTGGTCTGTGGAGATGCTAGTAAATATAATGTATATCTCAGAAATTGTTAAAGGCATTTGACACAGCTGAGCTTATTAACTCTAGACATTCCCTTCTAGATTGAGGGTTCAGGGAGGGTCATTAGAGTATCTGAGTATACAGTCACTCTTCACAGGTATGTAGCTCCTCCCTAGCTGCATGTGGCATCAGAAAGGAGCTAGAGGAAAGAAATTGGGAAGAGGGCTACACAGAGGAAGTTATGGGGAAGACAACACCAAAACAAGGCAAAGACTTTCTTTGTGTCTGCTTTAGGGTCACTCACATGCTCTTGTCCAGTAACCCTTCTGACTACTCAATAAGGAAGCCCAATAAATTTGTTGGTTCACCAAGAAACTATGGTGAAAAGAAAACACTGCTTGTTTAATATGACTCTAGTAGGAGACTATAGATGTTACTTACCTCCCCTCAGGAAGAAAATTTTTTGATGCAGGCTGCGTTGATGCTTGGAATAGAAAGCTATCTCATATAACTTCATACTTTCAAAATGCTTCCTTTCTGTATGACTTATCTGATGCTGTGTGAGGCTTGACTTGCAAAAGAAAGCTCTGCCACATGCTGTGCATTCATAGGGTTTTTCTCCTATATGAGTTCTTTGATGGGCAGTGAGATGTGAGTTATAGTAGTAAGATTTCCCACATTCTGTGCATTCATAGCACTTCTCTCCTGTATGAGTTCTCATATGTACAGTGAGGACTGAATTGTGGTAGTTTTCCCACATTTTGTACATTCATAGAGCTTTCCCCCTGTATGAGTTCTCTGATGAACAGTGAGCTTTGACTTCTGGAAGAAAACTTTCCAACATTCTATGCATTCATAGAGCTTCTCTACTGTATGAAATCTCTGATGATCAATGAGTTGTGACTTTTGGTAGAAAGATTTCCTACCTTCTTTGCATTCATAGGGCTTCTCTCCTCTATGCATTCTCTGATGTGCAATGAGTTTTGATTTGTATGAGAAAGTTTTCCAACATTCTGTGCACTCATAGGGCTTCTCACCTGTATGAGTTCTGTGATGATCAGTAAGGAGTGACTTTAAGGAGAAAGCCTTTCCACATTCTGTACATGCATAGGGCCTCTCTCCTGTATGAGTTCTCTGGCAAAAAGTAAGGGTATAATTTCATTGGAAAGATTTCCCACATTCTGTACATTCATAGGGCTTCTCTCCTGTATGAGTTTTGTGATGATCAGTGAGGTGTGACTTGACATAGAAAGCCTTCCCACATTCTGTACATGCATATGGCCTCTCTCTGATGAAGAGCAAGTGTAGCCTTTCAGAAGAAGGATTTCCCACATTCTGTATATTCATATGGCTTCTCTCCTGTATAAGCTCTCTTGTGTAAAATGAGTTGTGATTTGTAGGAGAACGTTTTCCCACATTCTATACATTCACAAGGCTTTTCTCCTGTATGAGCTCACGTAAAATGAGTTGATTGTATGAGAATGCTTTCCCACATTCTCCACATTCATACCTATTCTTTCCTCTATGAGCTGTCTGATATAGAGTAAGGTGTGTCTTCCTAGAGAAAGCCTTCCCACAGTCTGTACATTCAAAGTGCTTCTCTCTTGTATGTGTTCCCTGATGATTAATGAAGTGTAAATTTAGAGAGAAACCTTTTCCATATTCTGTAGATTCACAGGGAAAACACAAAAATTTTAAAGATTTTTAACTACACTTTAATTATGGAAAATAATATACATTTGATCAATACTCTCACTTAAGCTGAATTTTTACTCTGGATCCACCTGATTTTACTGTTTTAAATTTGACTTCCAATGTATATTCAGAATGAGAGAAAAAAAAACCTTTTTTCATTCTAATTCTGACTTATTTCACATGAAAACAGGCACTTCCATTCATGCAAACACAATCAGCTGATTCTTCTCTATGGTTGAATAATACTACATTTTTATGTATACTTACAGATGAATATAATGATGGGAAAATAGGATAATATCTTACCTACTGAGAATAATGACTCAGTAAACATGGACCTCCATGTGTGAGACCCTGACTCGTCTAACCACTTCTTTCTGCTTCTGTAATTTTCTTGGCTTAAGACAGCACTAACTCCATTTTGACTATCTGTTTCAGGTATGCTGTAATCTTCAGCTACCACCCCCATCCTGTAAAGCTATAGCTCAAGCAAGCCTTGGCATATAGCAGCCTTATAAGGTAAAACAGAAACTTCAGACCCCACAGATTAACAGTCAGCACATTCCAGTGCCCTAAAGACAGCTCCTACCAATAAGAATCTTTCTCCTACTCAGGGCATAAGACCATCCAATCATTTTAAAGGACGCTTGGCACATGCAAGCTTCTGTGAAACATCCATATAAAAGCGTACCCCACCCTAATTCAGGGCTCTCAGTATGGATCCTCTGCCCCGGTAAAATCTGAGGGCCCAAGCTTAAGCCTGAATAAAGGCTCTTTGCTTTTGCATACTCTCTGGACTTCTTGGTGGCCATTTTTGGTCGCAGGATTGGGGCGCAACATATGGGAGCTTGTCCAGGATTCCCAAGACCCCCCACAAGACCCCCGTAGCATTGAACCTGGTCTGGCAGGTAAGTGTCTTTGTCCTCTTGTTTGTGTGTGTTGCACGCTCTTGGTTTTGAGTCCCCGTTACCTTGTTAGCCTGTTGGTGGTCTAGGCAGATGTGTTGGAAGACCCCAGGCCGTGGGACTCGGGAGACATCCCGGACCCACCTGATAGGGATTGGATCCCACTTCTAACTTTGGAAGGGAAAGGCAGGTCACGCCCACAGAGCGGTGAGAGGCTGACATCCCACTTTCAGTTCTTGTTTTGTCAGTGTGTGTCTCTGTGTTGTCCATGATATTTGTGACTTACTTAGTTATAGACATGGGACAAAGTCAAGTAACACCTTTAAGTCTTTCCCACGATCATTTTTCTGGCTTCAAAAAGAAGGCTAGAGAACAAGGACTAGAAGAGAAGAAAGGCAAACTCTTTGTCCTTTGCAGGAATGAATGGCCAACCTTCAATGTTGGATGGCCTAAGGAGGGAACATTTGACCTCCCCACTAATTACAGGGTTAAAAACATTATTTTTGGGTGACCAGTACACCACGACCAGGTTCCTTATATTGAAACCTGGCAGGTCCTGGTTGAGGAGCCCCCTGAATGGCTCAAACCTTTTTTGCCACTGCAGGGTTCAAAGACAGCCATCCTCACCCTGCGTGAGGACGTGTGGCAGAAAAGTGAAACTAAGCTGTCTGTCCCTCTTTATCCTGTCCTCCAGGGCGGTACGTAGGAAGAACTTCTGTTTGAGCCTCCCCCATATCTGCCCACACCACCAGCACAGCCAGGGCATTTGGAACCCCCAGGGGAGGCAGAGGCAGCCCAAGCCTCTAGGGATGAGAGCCCTCCTCAAACTCGGAGGAGGGTCCAGGAGGGCAGCCATGAGTGGTGGCAGACTCCACCATCCTCCCCTTAAGGGCAGTGGGACCCCTTAATGAGGCAGGAGACCAACAAATGCAATAATGGTTATTCGCCACCAGTGATCTCTATAATTGGAAATTGCAAATGGCCAGATTCTCTGAGAAACCACAGGGCCTTATTGATCTCTTCTTTTCACCCATCAGCCCACTTGGGACAACATCCAGCAGCTATTATAGGTTCTATTTACCACCAAGGAGAGGGACCAGAACCAAACTAAGGCCTGGAAACTGGTCCCTGGGGTGGATGGGTATCTCACCACCAACCAGGTGCTGATCAATGAAGCCTTCCTGTTAGTCCAACCAAACAGGGACTTCAATGTGGCAGAAGGTAAGGAGAGGCTCCGGGTCTACCGCCAGACTCTAATGGGGGGCGGGGTTCTGGGCTGCTGCAAGGCACCCAACTAATTTGGCTAAGATTAGTGATGTGCAAGACAGAATCCCCAGCAGCCTTTTTAGAAAGGATCCTTGAGGCGTCCTGCACTTATATACCCATGAATCCAGAGGCACCAGAAAACAAGAATGCAGTCGTATTGGCCTTTGTCAACCAGTCAGCACCCGACAGGCGCAAATTACAAAAACTAGATAGAGTGGCAAATAAGACTCCACCGGGGCTTTTGGCAGTGGCAGAGAGGGTTTATAACCACAGAGAAAGCCCAGAAGACAAACAGGCATGAGCTGCAGCCACTGCGAGCACCAAGCAAACCTGAGACTTTGCTAAGATCCTTCTGGCTATGACTACAAAGTTGCCTGATGAGCAGGAACGCCAACTGTGTTTGTAGTCCGCTTCCCTGCGGACTCAGGTAGGAAACCCCAGTAAGGGCAACAAAGGTTACAGAGGAACCAATGTGCCTATTGCAAATAGATGGGCCACTGGATGAAAGATTGCCCAGAAAAACCTGCTGGGCAAGGCAGGGCCTGAGAAGGAGTGCAAACCCTCAAGCTCAGAGAAATGAACGGCTGGGGGGTTGGGGTTTGGATCCCCTCCCTGAGCCTAGGGTAACCCTCAAAGTGGAGGGGACACCTGTGAACTTCCATGTAGACACAGGTTCCCAACACTTGGTATTAACTGAGCTCCAAGGAAAACTATCACATAAAAAGTCCTGGGTACAGGGGGCTACTGGCATGAACCAATACTCATGGACCACCCAAAGAAAAGTGGACCTGTGCAAGGGTCAGGTGTCCCACTCCTTCCTGGTCATGCCAGAGTGCCCCTACCCACTCCTCAGCAGAGACTTGCTCACCAAAATTGGAGCCCACATTCATTTCACCTCTAGTGGAGCCCAAATGACGATCAAGAAGGCCACCCAATCCAGGTACTCACCCTACAACTGGAAGATGAGTTTAGGTTACATCAAAAACTGGCCTCTACACCAAAGGAGGAGGTTTCCACCTGGCTAAAGGAGTTCCCCACAGCCTGGGCAGAGACAAGGGGCATGGGGATGGCAGCCCACTGGCCCCCCCATCTGGATAGAGCTTAAGCCTGGAATCCCACCAGCCAGAGTTAAACAGTACCCTATGTCCCAGGAGGCCAGGCTGGGGATTATTCCTCATATCAGGTGCCTGAGAGATCAGGGCGTCTTGGTGCCTTGCTGATTGGCATGGAATACCCCCCTCCTGCTGGTCAAAAAGCCAAATTCAACCAACTAACGGCCAGTCTGGGACTTGAGAGAGGTAAACAAGCGGGTTATGGATGTTCATCCAGTGGTAACTAATCCTTACACTCTCCTGAGTTCCTTGCCACCTTTCAGAAACTGGTACACAGTGCTAGACCTGAAGGATGCCTTCTTTAGCCTGCCTCTGGCCAAGGAGAGCCAGCCTTTCTTTGCTTTTGAATGGCAAGACCAGGAGATTGGTTTCAATGGGCAGCTGACTTGGACCCACCTGCCACAAGGGTTCAAAAATTCACCCACCCTGTTAGATGAAGCCTTCCATGAAGACTTGGCCCTCAATCTGGCCACCCTGCTGCCTGATCTGGACCTGAACATGCCCTTGCATGATTGTGTGGGGATCCTGAGCCAAGTGCACGGGCTCAGAAAAGACCTGACCAACCAGTCGCTTCCTGATGCAGAAGCCACTTGGTTCACCGATGGCAGCAGTTTCACCCAAAATGGACAGAGGTATACGGGGGCAGCAGTAGTAACAGAGACCAAAACTGTCTGGGTGGTGGCTTTACCTGTGGGGACTTCAGCCCAGAGAGCTGTGCTGATAGCCTTGGCCAAGGCTCTTAAATAAGGCAAGGAGAGAAAACTAAACATGCATACAGATAGCCGGTATGCCTTTGCCACAGCCCATGTACATGGGGCTACCTACCAGGAGAGGGGGCTGCTCACAGCTGAGGGAAAGACTATTAAAAATAAACAAGAGATCCTAGACTTACTGGCTGCCCTATGGCTACCCAAGAAACTGGCTATCATCCATTGCCCCAGGCACCAGAAGACAGATATGCCTATAGCTCGAGGAAACCAGAGGGCAGACCAGGTTGCCAAGGAGATAGCCCTGAAAGCACCTTAGTCCTGGCTCTCCATCTGCCAGACCCAGGGCCACCCATGCTACCAGACCAACCTGATTATTCTCAGAAGACCTGAGGCTGATATACAAACTTCCCATGACCCAAAAGGTTGATGCCTGGTGGCATACAGGGGACTGTAGGATTATCCTGACAAGTAATCTAGCCAATGATCTTCTCAATTACATCCACTGGACTACCCACCTGGGCACTCAAAAGACAGAAGACCTCTGATGAAACGCTCATTTCAAGGTTCTGAACCTACGATCACATGTCGATTTAATCACCTCCAAATGTCTTAGTTGTAGGCTGATGAATACTGAGAACTTTCCCAAAGAATAGAGGACCTGGTTGAGAGGCTCCAAGCCTGGAGCCCACTGGGAAATGGACTTTACTGGGAAAATATGGTTACAAATATCTTTTAGTTCTGATAGATACTTTTTCAGGATGGACTGAAGCATACCCTACCAAGCATGAGACTGTGCAAATGGTCACCAAGTGGCTACTGGAAGACATTCTTCCAAGGTATGGTGTGCCGGCTCTTCTGAGCTCAGACAATGGACTGGCCTTCGCCTCTCAGGTAACACAAGAGTTAGCCAAAATATTGGGGGCAAAATGGAAATTACACTGTGCATGTAGGCCCCAAATCTGGACAGGTAGAGAGAATGAATAGAACACTAAAAGAGACCCTTACTAAATTAACCATGGAGACTGGTGGGGACTGTGTGGCTCTCCTTCCCTTTGCTCTATATAGGGTGTGAAACTCACCCTACCTGTTAGGTTTAACTCCATTTGGAATCATGTTTGGAAGACCCTCTCCCATCCTCCCCAATTTAAAAGCTAAATTAATTGCTGAGTTTGATAACCGTCAATTGCTTGATTCTCTTGAGGCTGTGGCACACGCCCACAAGGACATGTGGCCCCATCTGAAAGATATTTATGAGACTGATCCTCCTCTTACCCTATACAACTACCAGCATGGCGATTGAGTATGCGGCTGTGAGACTCTAGAACCTCACTGGAAAGGACCATAAATGGTGCTCCTGACTACCCTGACTGCAGTGAAAGTAGACGGAGTTACTGCCTGGATTCATCACACCCACATCCGGCTAGCAAGTGCACACCCAGACCCAGACGACCTTCGCCCTCTGCTCATTGCTGCACCGGATCCCAAAAGATGGGAAGTCCACAAGACGTGGGCAACCCTCTCAAACTAAGACTTATTGTTCTTAAAGGCTTCTATATTGTCCTCTGGCAATGCTCACCCTAACCTTCCCAACACTATGCTCTGGAGATTCTCTGTTAGGGAAATGTACCAGGGGAGAAACCAGGTGATTGGCATGGCCAACTGCCCCCTAGTGGGCTGCCGAGAACCCCTAGACATCATAGTGTACCCCAATGCCAGTAGCCACACAAATGATGAATATGTCTGCTTTCCTTATCGGCAGACAGACTCGTCATGTTTAAAAGACAGTGCCCTCTGTGGAGGGTGCCGCTACTTCTCCTGAAAGCTAGAGACAGGCCTAACCTGGGGACAAATAAGGATCACAGGGAAGGAGAGGTCCATATTCCTACTGGAAAATAGCCAACGTTATTCCTGAATATATGTTGCAGATCCCTGGGACAAACGCTGGCATACTGGGGTAGTAGGAAAGTTCTACCCAGGGGTTTCCACCAGTTACCCCACCATTGATTTCCACATTTCCTGCCAGCTTGTGCCGGCAGTTCAGCCTATACTGACCCATCATAGCATTATTGTACAGGAAAAGCCAACGGAGGAGCAGATAAAATCAACCATGTCCTGGGATCAATATATACAATATGTGGACTTTTTACCCATCACCAACCACCCCGATGCCTCTAATTGCTTTCTTTGTGCGTCTAGCAACAGACCTTTGGTGACTGCAGTACTAGTTAATGCCCCCCTCTCTAAGACCTCAGGAAATAGCTCCTCTGATGCCTGTTTGGCGGCCATTCCCCTCTTTGAACAATCACCTGACTACCCACTTTGCATTTCTGGTGCAGCCATTCCTGCCCATTACAAATGCCTTGCTTATTTGACTCTGGAACTGTGTGCATCAGCCTTCCCCTTTTTCTCTGGTGTGGGGGAGACATTTTGACTCTCATTAATTCCTCTCAGCCTGCCTTTTGTGTTCCAGTAATCATCACCCCCAGGTGTACTTGTTAGAGGAGGAAGAGGCTGCTCTTCTTCTCCACACCCGATTGTGGAGAGAAATCTTCATTCCCGTTAGTGGGTCTGGGACTCGCCCTCTCAGTAGGTGCCGGGAGCGCAGTGACTGCGGCTATCGTTCAAACCAATCATCTGGCGGGGGACTTCCAGGACAAGTTAGACCAGGCAATGGCATCCACAACCAACAGCCTTGAGTCCCTCCAGTGACAAACGAACGCACTTGCAGGAGTGGTGCTTCAAAACAGGCGAGCTCTGGACCTAATCACAGCTGAACAAGGGAGGGACTTGCATGGTTCTGGGGGAAAATTGCTGCTTGTCAATGAGTCCAGTATTGTTGAAGAAAATGTAAAAACCCTCAAACACCTCTGCCAGGAACTCGTCTCCAGATACCAACCTACAAAGCCACAAAATTTGTATGAACAACTGTTCAATTGGTCTCTCTGGCTTACCACTCTACTTTCAGCCTTGGCTGGGACCATAATCCTTCTCCTACTAGTGTTAACTGTTGGGCCATGTATTATCAATCAGCTGACTTCCTTTGTTAGAGAGTGGGTAAATGCAGTACAACTCATGGTCCTGAGGTCCCAGTATCAGCCCGTAGGCAATCTCATTAGAGATCACGATCCAGACCCATGACTGGGTCATCCCTATTTACTAGGAGAGGGAAATGTGACTCCGACTCGTCTACCTGCTTCTTTCTGTTTCTGTAATTTGCTTGGCTTAAGACAGCACTAACTCCATTTTGGCTAGCTGTTTCAGGCGTGTTGTAATCTTCAGCTACCACCCCCATCCTGGAAAGCACAGATCAAGCAAGCCTGGGCATATAGCAGCTTTATAAGGTAAAAACAGAAACTTCTGGCCCCACAGATAATAGTCAGCACATTCCAATGCCCTAAAGACAGCCCCTACCAATAAGAATCTTCCCTGTACTCAGGGCATAAGACCATCCCATCATTTTAAAGGATGCTTGGCATGCATGGTCTTCTGCGAAACTTCCATATTAAAAGTGTACCCCACCATAGTTTGGGGCGCTCAGTACGGATCCACTGAGTCGGTGAAATCTGAGGGCCCGAACTTAAGCCCGAATAAAGGGTCTTTGCTTTTGCATACTCTCCGGACTCCTTGGTGGTCACTGGGGGTCACAGGATCAGGGTACAACACATGCACATGTATTATATTTATTTTAAGCCTATTAGCAAAGCTACAGTATTACCAAAACTAATCTTAATCCCATTCTGAATGTGTAGCTGCTAAACATTTTCTAGTAACCTACAGAATAACTATTTATACTGGAAAAACAAAATTAAAAACAAAATGAAATATAAAACTTTCAACAAATGGTTCGTAAATGGTGTGCCTATAAAAAGTGAATCTCCATACATACATAAAGACTGAAATCAATTTATTACAAAGAGCAAATGAGGGTAGAATGTATCAACAAAAGGCTAATAAAAAACTAAGATATAAAATGGGATAAGATATAAAATTTAAAAATTGAGAAATTATGTAAACTAGCCAATAAAAAATTTTAAGCATGGATTGATTTTGGCAAACTTTAGAAAATATATTTCAGGGAAAAAAACCCAAAGAAGACAAAAGCCCCCCAAAACCCCAAACCAAAACCAAACCAAGAAGACAGGTTGAAATAGTTAATCCTCTTCAGAAACTGCAAAAATTAAGTTTCTGATCTTCAACCCAGCTGTCATCAAGACTGCTTTGGAATACAAGCTGGTAAAGAGTGCTCAATGTGACCAATATTTGATATGTCTTTCTGGCTTATCTTACTCATTATGCATTCACTCACCAAGGAGGTTCTGAACTGAGGCTTCTGTTACAGTCCATGGTGCGAATCCATGCTCCAACTTGAATATCAACTCAGGTTTGGACTTGAAGTGTCCTATTTTTAAAAGGAAAATAATATAAAAAATATGTCAAGAGTACTATATCAGGTCCAGGAGAAAGGTTCAATTCAAGAAGAGTCTTGTGAACAATGAATTGGAAGCTTTCATTAAAGACAATTTATATTCACATTCTTCAAAGACTGGAATATTTCAAGAATATTTAAGTAAACATCAGTGGACACAGAGAAAACATCAAGAAATTAGAAAACTCATAGAATATTTAAATTGAATGAGAAGGGAGTTAATAGCCCAAAGTCTACACTAAAAAATCAGAAAAGAGGGGCTGGAGAGATGGCTCAGCAATGAAGAGCACTGGTGGCTTTTGCAGAGGACCCAAGTTAGGTTCCTAGCTCCTACATGGTGGCTAGCAACCATCTGGAACTCCAGTTCCAGGGGATTCAATGCCTACTTCTGACCTCTGAGGGCATTGCACTACATGGGTGCAGTTACATACATGAAGACAATATACTCATACACATAAAATAAAATAAATGAATAAATAAATGAAATATTAAAAAAACTTTTTAATTAAAAACATCAAAAAAATACACAAATAAATTACTTAATGGTAGAACTCTAGAATCTTGAAAAATGAGAACAAACCAAACTCAAAATCCATCTTATTTATTTTTTGAGACAGGATCTCCTGTAGCCCCAGCTGTCCTGGAACTCACTATGTAGACCAGGTTGGCCTTGAACTCACAGAGATCCACCTGCCTCTGCATCCTGAGTGCTGGGACTAAAGGCATGTGCCACCATGCCTGGTTAGAGCTTGGTCTTTGAAAAAATAAGCAAGATAGACAGACTCTTACCCACCTAACCAAAAGAAAGAAAGAACAAATCCAATCAACAAAATCAGAAATTAATGGGGAAATATTAACAGATACCAGAGAAATCCAGAACATTATAAGGGAATACTTAAAATACATATACTCCATTGAATTAGAAAAGCTAAAAGAAATGGAAGAATTTTTAAATTCAATGGAACCACCAAAATTAAATGGAGATCAACATTTTAACAAATAAAAGATTCAAGCAGTAATACAAAGCGTCCTGAGTGAAAACAGCCCAGGTCCAATGTCTAAACAGCAGAAACCATGAGCTCAAGACTAGCTTGCAATACACAGTGAAGCCTTGTCTCAGGAAATATATAAAGACACCATAGTTTTTGTTTCTGGAAGGGAAGTATTAATTCTATTAAAGAGCTGTACTACTCAAAGCGATTCATGGATTCAATAAAATTCTCATCTTAATACTAATTATATTCTTCATAGAATTGGAAAACTGCTATACACAGTATCAAAAACAAGGAAGGGAAACCTGAAGTCCTTATAATACGAGTCTTCAAAGAACAGCAAAGAGATAGTAACAAAAACAGCATAAATATATGGAAAAGAAATGGACAACCTAATATAAAACCCTGCTTATGTAGTACCATACTTTGCTAAAGTTCAGGGGTAAAAATCCATGTCACCAGTCAGTGGTGTTGTAGGAAAGAATCCAGTAAAAGGAAATGAGGCCATTAGGGAAATAGTCAAGAAGGGATGAGGGATAGGAGTCCCTTTCTTTGCTTTGGAGCTGCAATGAGATACACAACACTGAAATAGCATTTTGTCCCTGCCAGGATCAAAGTGAAACTGCCCAGCAAATATGACTGAAATCTTTGAAAACTATAAGCAAAAATAAATCTTCCTTCCTTTTGAGAGATTTTTCTGAAGTGAAATTGCCAAACAAAATTGACAGAAATCTTTGAAAACTATAAGCAAAAATAAATCTGCTTTCCTTTTAAGATTACTTTCCTGAAGTGAAATTGCAAAGCAAACATTGACTGAAATCTTGGAAAACTATAAGCAAAAATAACTTTTCTTCCTTTTTAAGATATTTTTCTCTGGAATTTTTGCAGTGATGGCAATATGGCTAATGAATCCAGTTAACAGATGATCAAAAAGGCTTCCAAAATTATATTCAAACCACATAGCTTTAATTACTGCACTCGGGAGGGAGATGCAGGCAAATCTCTAGAGCTGTAGGCCAGTTGATCTAAAAACAGAGTTCCAGACCATTTAGTGATCGATAGTGAGACCTTGGAAAAAATAGGCTCAGAACAGGTCTCACAGTGAGAACTATAGATATGCACCGACTGAGGCAATGGAAGCAACAGCCTCTTTTTTATAATCATATAGAGAAATCCACTAAAAATGGATTGAAAATTTGAGACCTGAAACTATGTCACTGAAATTGCTCAGTGGGTAAGGTGGCCTGTCATCAGTTCTGATAACCTGAGTGTGATCCCTGGATTGCACATGATAGTAGGGAGTGAATGAACTCTGACAACTTGTTCTGTGATGTCCAGAAGACAGCAGTGACATGCAGTGGCACACTCATAAAATCACACAAGCACCTACACACACAAAACAAAGAAATATAAAAATAATTTTATGTATGTGTGTGAAAAAAAGACTCCAAACTCTGAAACTCCCGGAACAGAGAAGAAATATGTTAGATCAATGCTGTAGATAGACAGATTTAAAATATGTGAAACAGAAGCAGAATGTCAACACATGTGATGACATATATCTCAAAATCATTTGTATAGAAAAGCAAGCAAATAATAAAGATCAAATTGACATTTAAAATGAGAAAATGCAGGCAAACTATTCACTGAAAAAGAAATTAAATTCTAAAATATAAGAACCTCAAACACACAAATATTAGGAAATGAAATGATCTGTTTAATATGAGTAAAAGGTCTGTAGACCTATTTCTCAAACATGACAAATGAATAGTGGTAAACGGATGAACAAATGCTTAACACCCCTATTCTTCGGGGAAAGGACAATACAAACGACAATAAGATGTCAATGCTTGAATATGAAATGGTTCGCTGATACACAAGATAATAAACACTGAGGTCTCATAAATAATGCTAGGAATATAAACTAATGCAGCTAGTATGAAATAGACTATAATGGTCCCTCAAAACATTCAACGTAGAACTACTACATGAGAGCACTATCCTACTGTTGGCTCCATATTCAAGGGAAATAAGAACTATTCAGAGCAATCTGGAGTTCCATTTGTACTATAGCATGGCTCATATAAGTCAAGACATGTAATCAACACAGGTGCTCATCAAGAAGAAACAACATAAAATATGTGGCACGTATAAGCAATTTAATTATTAAAATAGAATAAAATTCTGTTTTTTTTTTAACTTACAAAAACACAGGTAAATACTGAGCACTAAGAGCAATGCTGGGGTGAATAATATACCAGATATTAAACTGTATTACAGAGCTATAGTCATAAAAACAATATGGTACTGGCCCAAAAATAGACCAGTAGATCAATGGAACAAAATTGAAGACCCAAAAAATGAGTACATGCAATTTCAGCCACCTGATATTTGACAAAGGGGCCAAGAACATGCACTGGAGGAAAGACAGCATGTTCAGCAAATGGTGCTGGCAAAACTGGATCTCCACCTGTAGAAGAATGAAACTAAACCCCTATCTTTCACCTTGCACAAAAGTCAACTCCAAATGGATCAAAGACCTCAGTGTGAAGCCTGAAACTCTGAAATTGTTAGAAGAAAACATTGGCAATAACCTACAAGACAGAGGTATATGAAAGGATTTTCTAAACCAGATATCAACTGTCCAGGAAAGAAGGTCAAGAATCAACAAATGGGACCTCATTAAACTAAAAAGCTTCTGTACATCAAAAGAAGCAACCAAGGAAGTGAAGAGAAAATCCACAGAATGGGAGAAAATCTTGACAAGCGATACATCTGACAGAGATTTAACATTCAGAATATATAACAAACTCAAAAAACAAAGACTCAAGAAAGGAATTAACTGAATTAAAAGATGGGCTAAGGAACTGAACAGAGTTCTCAAAAGAAGAAAGAAAGATGGCTAAGAAGCATCTTAAAAGGTGTTCAACATCACTAATAATTAGGGAAATGCAAATTAAAACTACTTTAAGATTTCATCTTACCCCAGTCAAACTGGCTAAGATCAAGAGAACAAATGATACCAAATGTTGGAGAGGATATGGGGAAAGGGGAACACTCATCCACTGCTGGTGGGGCTGCAAACTTGTTCAACCCCTATAGAAAGCAGTGTGGAGAACTCTTAAAAAACTACAAATGAACCTACCATTTGACCCAGTTATACCACTCCTTGGCATATACCCAAAGAACTCATCCTATTGCAGAAACACTTGTACATCCATGTTTGTTGCTGCTCTTTTCACAATAGCTAAGAGATGGAAGCAACCTAAGTGTCCCTCAATTGATGAGTGGATAGTGAAAATGTGGTTCATTTACACGATGGAGTTTTACTCAGCAGTAAAGAAAGATGAAATCAAATTTGCAGGTAAATGGATGGAATTAGAAACTGCTACACTAAGTGAAGTAACACAGACTCAGGAAAAAAATAAACAAAAATGACATATGTTCTCCCTCATATGTGGATCCTAGCACCAAATCCTCTATAAGTGAGTATGTATCCAGACATAAATATAGGAACCAGGATAGTGAAAAGGAACCAGGGAGGTAAAGGAAAAGAAAGAATCTGAGCGAGAAGAACAGTAGGAAACAGGCCTTAACAAAGGAGATAGGGATAAAAATTAGTTTATTTTAAGGGGCAGGGGAAGGGAAGGGTATACAAGGAACCTAGGGGATAAAGGGAAGGAAGGAGCTCAAGAGAGGTAGGACCATAGGAGAAGGGTATTAAGGGAGAAATGGAAAAAAAACGGGGACACCTTACATGGGGAAACCATGGTGGGAGGGTTAGACAATATGAGAGATAAATAATGCCTAGCTAGTTTTAAAAACCAGAGGGAACCATATGAATCCAACAACCTACTGACAAATTATACATACAACCAGATCAAAGAAATAATATATGTCTAGGCAAGGTTTATCTGAGAGTGTTTGGTCTTTGCCCAAGCATACAGCCATCCTATGAAGCCTATACTAATTTGGACAAAG